CTTTATACTTTAAAATTATTACTTTAATACTTTGACCTATTATTTTAATACATTGTAATCTTATTGTGTATAACGAAGACACCAGTTTACAATACCATTTGTAGCCATTTATTACTACTAAACCTTACCTATCTTATAGCATGATTTGCATTAACCTGTTAACTTAGCAAAAATGTGCAACTCAATCCTATGTCATGACACAGAATGCCTTCAATTGCCTGCTACTGCTGTCGTGGCACTGCAGGCATGTATGTCAACCTTTTTGCACAACAAAAATAAAGAATAAAAAATATAAGAGGATTTTTAATATTAAACTCAATAGTATAAAAGTGACAGTAAGTGGCTACAGACAGGTAGTGATATACTAATGTGTATATACTCACGTGTCTGCCTGGGTGTCCTTTGCCTTCTAATGCTCATAGCAAGTTAGCTCAATCCGTGCTCTCATTGGCTGAGCTGTGTATGTACGCTGATAAGGAAGTCTTTTTTCTGGAATGGGAGGTGATTTTCTTTTTCTTTTCTTTTTTTGCAAAAATTACAAAGAGTATGCAAAAAGTACAGCTTACAATGACAGTGGCACAGAATACCTCAGTTAAACTGTTAACATAACTGATTTTTTTAATGATTTTATGATTTATTAATTGCATTTATTCATATTAACAGATCATTCTGCAACATCTGGCTGAAGTGTTCACAAGAAAATATTTTTTCCTGGGCAACTTTGACAATGGATGGTTTTGGCGCATTTCAGTTACCCTTTTATGTGTGGCTAATCATTGCTGTAGTGTGTTTTATCTTTCTTCTAAGTTGTCTAAGGTCCCTGTTTAAGTGTTGCAAATCAACTAATTACACAGGTACTAATGTGACAGCAGACTCTACCACCATTTATGCAATCAATTCTCAGTTTAATACGGGATACCAATCAAATCAAGATAACAGACCTCATTTCGAAAGTCAGCATTTTCCAAGTACTACAGTCCCGCTTTCGGAACCCTTTAGGTTTACTACAGCTCCTAACCAGGCGTATTTGCAGAACACAAACTTTACTATAGCTCAAACAACGGTCATACAAGATTTACCTCCAAGCTATGAAGACGTCATTAGACAGAAATGATGTTAACCTGGAATTAATTATCATGTGTATGAAGTATTTTCTTACATCTATTTTCCTCTAACTGTCAAACAGCTGATAGTTGTGATGCAATCTTTTTGTTCTTCATCCAACCTAGTCTAGGTCATTCAGAAAATTAATCTTGGACTGATTTGCACTAAAAGTCAGATGTTTGAAAGGCTTAATCCAAAAAAAGGAAAACAAGTAAAGTTTTCAAAACGAAACCACAATAATGAGTCCATCAGAGATACTGGGCTGGTATGGTGTCTAGAGAACTTCATGACTGAACTGTTGTTTTTCTATTTATCTGATACAATTTAGTTGCATTTAGAATTGGTTTCAGGAGTATTTAGTGTAAAAGAGTATATGGTATCAGTGGGTTCCTCTGTGAGTGTGTCCAAGTCGCAGAGTGGAGAGAAGAGTTAAAAGAAGGAAGCATTGGCCTTCTATGCTGTGCTGAGACACAGACTCCTGGGAGGTACCATCTACTGAAAGGGTTATTGATCCTAAACTTAAGTCATCATTATGCCATGAAAAAGAGTTTACCCATCTTGTTCGTTGCATAGGATGGCAAAAAAGTATTGTGGACTATTTAAAGCTTTATGATAAATCTTTATGAAATATTGGCATTTTACTGAAACTCATTAACATGCTTCCATACATAAATATGTTGTAACTGTAAATGTATGCTAATTTCCATTCCTTAGTTTAGTGACATTATGCAATCACATATTAGGTCAAAAATGGTTATGCGGGAAATAGGTAGGGCAACAAATTTAGGACAATAATTTCCCAACACTAAGGAAGCTATAAAAGCCAACAGAAGATAGAAAGAACCAGGCATTTGGAACTTAAAAGCCTACTGGGAATTCCAGAGTAACTCTGCGTTATTTATTTTGGTAAGTAAAAAGTTTATATTTTATACATATATAAATTATTCATGCTAATTATTTTTGAAATATAATATTGTAAGTATATGAAAAATTTAAAGATTACATTTGTCAGATTATTTACCTGGGACATAAAATGATCTGGGATTTAAAAAAAAGTATTTTGACAACTGCTAAGGACGGAGGCAATTGAACACGTTCTGTTCAAAACAAAGTTAAAACAAACCCTAGAATTTGAGCTATAGTCTGTTCAATCGTAATTCACCACTTTTATATTATGTTTCCCCAAACCTATATATTATTTTGTTCATGAGTAACAGGGCTTTCATTTCACTTCAAATATATAGATTGTAAACATAATTTTATATGAATAAAAACTAAAAAAAGTTTTTAAAGCAAGAAATGTTAATATCTTCTGTGTGGCATTTTAACTGTGAATGTCATAATACTGTTAGCTTTTACTGCAGTAAATTACACATATTTGTGTTCAGCAAAGTCTCACGAGTACAGCAGTGCTCGTTTTATGGTATTTTGGAAAGTTTCCCATTTTAAAATTTTGCCATATTGATTATGTTGCTTTGAGACCTTATGGCAGCCCAGGAATGAAAATTACCCCATCATGGCATACCATGGCTTTACCCCATCATGGCATACCATGGCATTACCCCATCATGGCATACCATGGCATTACCCCATCATGGCATACCATGGCTTTACCCCATCATGGCATACCATGGCTTTACCCCATCATGGCATACCATGGCATTACCCCCATCATGGCAAACCATGGCATTACCCCCATCATGGCATACCATGACATTACCCCCATCATGGCATACCATGGCATTACCCCCATCATGGCATACCATGGCTTTACCCCATCATGGCATACCATGGCATTACCCCATCATGGCATACCATTTAAAAAAGTAGACAACTCAGGTTATTCAAAATAAGGTATGTTCAGCCTTTTTTAGTAGCCACTAAACTCTGGCGAAATTTAGCATTCATATTTGTTTTTGGCATTTTTTACACAAAAACAACACTTTCACTGATGATATAATTGTCGTGGTTCATTTCCACTGCGTTAAAACACTCATATTTGTGTTCAGCGAAGTCTTCTGAGTAAAACAGCACCTCGCATGTACAGGTTTTAAGGTGTTTTGGAGAGAGAGAGATGTAGAATTTCATTCTAAGTGTAGTATATATATATTAATATCAAAACACAGTTAGAATAACATTTCATATATATATATATATATATATATATACTGAATATATCATTTTACATTTTTATTTAATATTTTTATTTATATCTAAGAAGATCCAATATTTTGCACTCGAACCTCCAAATAGGTCATATGCCCAGTGCCCAGTAACACAGTAAACAGGGCCGGTGCAAGGATTTTTGCCGCCCTAGGCAAAAGTAAAGTTTGCCGCCCCCCCACCCCCTGTGACATCACAATGCCCCACCCATATGACCTGCCATGTTAACTAACGCTAGTGCTGCAGTGCCGCTGTGTTTACATTAAAAGGCCTGCAGGGACAGGCTATAGACACCAGGACCACTACATTAAGCTGCAGTGGTTCTGGGGACTATAGTGTTTCTTTAATGTGAGGTAAATTATAGATTAGTGCCACGAATAATATACTAGATTACCTACTTACAAGCAGATGAGGATGATGATGGGCTCTAGCTGCAGTCTGGCTCCACTGGTCTGGTGTATAACAGGATCTCTGGAGGCTGTTTGTAACTGTGGTCACAAAAATCAATGTTCTGGGAGAACGAGAAGCAGCTCCATTTTTTGGGGGCCTTTTACATAGCTCAAGGTCTGTGTCCCAGGGTCCACCTTCATGTTCCACCAATGAGTTTGTTCACAGGGGGTAGAGTGTGTAGGGGATGTCCTGATTTGTGTGTAAGGAATGCATTGTGTGAATCTGTGTTTGTATGTGTAAGGGATGTAAGGGATGTAAGGGATGAAGTGTGTGAGTCTGTAAGGGGTGCTTTGAGTGTGTTTAAGGGGTGCATTGAGTGTGTGTAAGGAATGCATTGTGTGTTTCTGTGTGTGTAAGGGATGCATTGTGTGTAAGGGTTGCATTGCGTGTGTGTGTGTGTAATGCATTGTGTGTTTTTCTGTGTGCAAGGGGTTCATTGTCTTTGTGTGTAAGGGGTGCATTGTGTGTGATTGTGTGTGTGTGTGTGATGGATGTCAATCTCTCCCCCCTCCCTTGTCACTCTCTTCTCCCCCCCTCCCTTGTTACTCTCATTCCCCCTCCCTGTCAATTTCTCTCTCCCCGTCAATTCCCCTCCCTGTCAATGTCTCCTCCCTCCCTGTTAGTTCCCTCCCCGTTAGTTTCTTTCTCCCCCCCTCCCTGTTAGTTTCTTTCTCCCCCCTCCTGTCAGTTTCTTTCCCCTCCAGTTTCTTTCTCCCCCCTCCTCTGTTTCTTTCTCCCCCCTCCCTGTCAGTTTCTTTCTCCCCTCCTGTCTGGTTTTCCCCTCCCCTGTCAGTTTCTTTCCCTCCCTCCCTGTTTCCTTCTACCCTTCCCTCCCTGTTTCCTTCTCCCCCCTCCCTCCCTGTTTCTTCTTCCCCCTTCCTCCCTGTTTCTTTATTTCCCCCCCCCTCCTTTCTGTGTGTGTGCACTTCCTGTTAGTCCGGCCGGGTACAGGAGACAGATGCTCCCTGTACCCGCCGGCTATACTGGGCTCGGCCACGCTACATAGAGGAAGCTGACAGGAGGGAGCGCTCAGCGCTTTCCTCCTGTCAGCCTCTCCTCAGGCTGCGCCCGGGCGGTGCAGTCCGCCCTCATGGACGCACCGCCCGGGAAAAGCTGCAGCCGCCCGAGGCTCTTTACAGAGCGCTCGGGCGGCTGCAGCATGAGCGGGGCCGGCGCTCCTGGCGGCTGCCTAGTCCGCCTTACAGGTAGCGCCGGCCCTGACAGTAAATACCTTTCAGCAAAAATACCGGCAATCCTAAATTTACTATAGATTCATTCTTTAATTTCAAAAGAAATCCAAGTTAACTTTTCAGTTCCTGAACAGAACTTTCATCAGGACATCACATAAAACTCATCACATGGATAGAGACTTTATATAGGACACCGAACACCAGGAGATCCCTCCCCCGTCTGCAGCATGCCCTCCCTTCCAATCACAGAACAATCAGGCATCATCACGTCACGCCAACAACGCCTCTCAGCTATTAGCTACCCTGCTGATGTGTTCTCCATTGCGTCTCCATGGCTACCAGGACAGGGAAGGGATCTCTGGGAGTGCTGCGCATGTGCCCGGGCGCTTTGGACACGCCGACCACTAAACATGAGCAGTTGTTGTGGTGAGTACTTATCTATATGTCCTATAGAACGCCATTATCCATGTGATCCGTTTTATGTGATGTCCTCATTAAAATTTCCGTTCAACTGAAAATTGACTTGGATTTCTTTTGAAATTAAAGAATAAATCTATTGTGAATCCAGGAGTGCCGGACTTTTTGCTGAAAGAGATATATATATATATATATATATATATATATATATATTTATTATACACAAAATCCAGCACACTCACACCCAGATGGAAGATATTTTTCCCAAGTAAGTGGATTAATCTCATAAGAGTTGAAATTAGGTTGGTATTGTAGGACCTGCCAAAGATTGGGCACATTGGCGTTGTGGCAGACTTATGCAATGTATGATCATATACTGTAACTAAACCCCCATTGTTTTAGCCCAGATTAGATGTTTTTTAAAAAAACTAAAAACAGGAATAAAATCTGTGAGCTTTGAAGTTGCTGTTTAGTGGGTGAGGGAGTGCGCTGGATCTTTTATATTGCATGAATTGGCCCCAGTAGTCCCCATTTACGCATGGTCAGGTGAGTGCAGCCCCCTGTTTTCATATTTTATATATATAATATATACTATGCTGGTCATGTGATCGCTCTGTGAGAGCGTTCACATGGCCCAGCGAGGGAGAACTGATTGGTCAGAGGGTGAAGGCCTGGGCTGTAAGGAAGTTCCCCTGAAGCAGAGCGCCAGGTAGATAAGTTACCCAGAGGCTCCAGGGCTGAAAGCTGTTGCGACGTTCTATTCCACTGCAACAGCTTTAAAGCTGTAACGGTTTTATGGGATTAATATCCAACTGATTTTGTGAGACAGGAAATAATGTAAATAAGTGTTAATATTAAATAAATATTTACATAGCAATCTAAATTGAAAAAGAAAAAAGACTCAAGTCCATCGACTTCAACATTTTAAAGTTTTTACTCAAATTTTTCACTTTCATCTCAATAAATACATACACTCATCCATACAGGCAGGCAGGATGACTGACGGACACGCACACCCAGACACATATATACACACACAGGTATACGTTGCTCAAAATGTGCCTTTTTCATTGACGGGTATTTCTACTGGGAATTCACTGCATCCATATCACCTTCCAAATATGACCTATTTCTGTAATTCAACATATTTTTCTATTTATAGCATTTCACATCATCATATCATTACCAATTCACCACTATTTAATGTTTCGTGGTATGCTGTTTAAATGTCTTGTAATATCATACCTTCCCTTCACTCAAAGGTTTTGTATAAATAACTGCACTTCAGCTCTCCCCTTTACTGACTACACTTGCCAGAGCAGCAATAAGGCATTGGACCATTTAATAAATTGAGTGTAATTCAAAGAATATAATAATGTGGTATAATTAAAAGAACATCAAGGGGTGTGGTTTCTGAGCTCACACCTGCACACACAGACTCACACATGCACACTTGCTAATTATGCTTACATTTACTCATGTGATAAAAGCGTTAAACTGGCATGTCGTACTAAACAGACTCTGGAAGCAGGAGCATGATGTGACTTTTCAGATTGTCACAAGTACAAATGTGCTCATCAGCATTGAAAGGGTTAATAAAAAAATTTTCAAAATTCTTTATTTTGGTTTTCGTACATTTACAACAAAGGTAACAGAAAAAGAAATACATAATTCTAAAAAACTGAGCCGGTATTCCCTCTCAATGACAGGGTAAAGATGTGCAATATGATGCGATGGTTGGATGGAAATAATGTAACAACATCCGAAATTTCAAAATCACCGCAGACATGGTGATACTATGTAGTCCATTAGCAAGGGCTCCTTTAGGGGCTTTCAGCCTGACGCCCAAGCGAGTACACGTAATTGGGACCTTTGTGAGCTATTAAGGTCAATTTGTTAGGTAAAGAGTTTACAGATTATAAAGTTTCCATTTAAATGAGTGAAGTGGAGAGAGGCAACAGGTAAGGGTAAAGTGGGTAGTTTCGCTGTTGTTAGCTGAAATCACTCCTGGGCCTGCGGAGCGTTACTAAAAAGCCGCTATCTTCACCGGAAGACAGGTGCCGCTCCCAAAAGGGATTAATATAATCACTTTGCCAAAATGTTTTTGTGCCAAATGTAATTGTTTCTCCTTTCCAGTGTGTCTACGTGTAGCCAGAAGATAAGTTTAGATTTTATTTTATACATATACAAAATTGTTACTTGATTGTGAAAAGGATGGCATTTTTCCTAACTTATTTAGGAAAATTTTACTATTGGGCTTTTATTTGCATTTTTTTCCTGAAGAAAACACCTTTTTTTCAGTAGTAAGTTGAAAAATGTTTTACAAAGGGAGAGAACTGATATTTTGAGAAAAAAAACTCAGTATTGTAACAATGTATATAAAAAAAGCATGTAAAGGCAATCACGTGGGCTGTATAAAACTTTACATAAACTGTTTTACATCTCATATTTATGTTCAAGAAATAAAGTTTCCATATGTCAGAGGTATTTGAATATTGTGGATTCATTGAATGCAATGATTCTCTAAGACAACTTGTGATGATACTGCGTATGTGTGCGAGATGTCACAGTTCGCCTGGGTATAAGAGACAGGGCTTGGAGGCATGAACTGAGCATTCAAATCAGTAAAATAAAATATTTTGGGGACGAATTTGAGGGAGGACTACTGTAGGCACTATAACAACTTACATTTGTTATAGTGAGTTCAGTGTTCCTTTAAATAGTATTTACCAAGTAAAAGTCCATTAATTCCTACAGTGCTGGAATGCATAGACGCAACAAGGAACCACAAATTAATCATTAAAAAAGACATCTGTATATAACATTTTTACAACTATATACATAAAGTATACATACATATGTATACTTTATGAATATATACACACACAACTTAATGTCCGTAGGACTGAAAATGTAAAAAAATTAAAAGTAAATAAATAAAACACATATTTATGTACAAGGAAGTCGTGTCCCCTGTTTTGTTTCCATGTGTCAGAGTTTGAATTCTATGGACTCTGGAAGAATGGTCAAAGTTCCCAATACTCAGATGCATTTTGTAATACAAGACAATAAAATATAATGAAATAACGTGTTCTTTAAAAATCATACCAACTTAACAATATCTGAATAAACTCTCAAAGTTCCCCTTACTCTCAGTGTTACACAAGGATTTATCACTGTTTCCTCCCAGAATTGAGCTGTAAACAGATCTTGCATGGTTTGAAACTGAACTCAGGAACGATGGTCACAGTCTACAAGCACCATAAACACTACAATGGATTTTATGGTTCTTAGACTGCCACTTGATTAAGGGAAAGCTGTGCTGAAACCTGTATATAGATGGCAAGATCAAAAGTGAGCAGTCAAAGAGGCGGATATAGGTTGCTCCTTCCTTGTATCTAGAACGTCACAGGGATGAAAAAACAGAGACAACAAAAATAAATATATAATGGTGAACTTAAAAGCCTTCAAGGGACACTGTAGGCACCATAACTGCTTTATCTCATTGTAGTGGTTATAGTGTCTGGTTTCCTTTGGCGCTGTTATTTCATTCAGTATTAAACCATGTTTAATGTTTTAATGCTAAACAAGAGTCCCCAGCAACTCATCCCGTCTGTGCTTGGGGTAATGAAGAAGCATTAGCCTGAGCAGCAAAGGATGTTTGTGATTGGCTGAGGGTGTCAGCTGACCACGTTCAGTCTATCACAGTGTCTTTGCAGGTATAAATCAGTATGGCTACAAGGAAGCGATACCCAACTTAACCATATCACCAGTGGGGGCAGGGCCATGGCAAACCAGGTATCCTCTTTCAGTATTAAACTGCTTCAAAATAGTCTAGGACTGAATGGAGGGACAGTGCTAGGGGGCTCTAGGCATTATAACCAATTCAATGAGATGAAATTATTATAGTGCCTACAGTGTTCCTTTAAACGTGAACTGGCATTACCCAGGAATTATTTTTTTAATTCTTTATTTTTGGTTCAATACACAAGAATATTATCATGACATAAAGACATAGAAAAAAAGCATAAACTATGACATGTAATCCATTGCGATCATCAAGCACATAATACACACTCAAACAAGGGTTTGAATATATTGTTAAAGAAAGATGTATGTACTAACAGTAAACCAAACACTATAGATCACTTGTTTCAATGCTACCTAGGCTAAGTCTGCAGACTATACCTTAGCATAATATCTTTTCTTCAGAAGCTTTAAGGGGATGTACCTGGGAGTCTAAAAGATTACACCTGGCTGTCTCGATAGGGAGTGTGTCAATTTCTCTAAACTGTTAGCGGGGGGAAGGGAGGAAGGGGTAAAGAGGAGAGGTGATATTATGTTGGTCTAGAGACCAATCAATCTGTAGGGTAGAGAGAAAGCTAAGCTGTGCTGTATCTAATTAAAAAACAGTGGAACAAAAAAAGCTAACTAACACAAGAAGACTACTGCCAGGAGCAGTAGAATAATCAGGTGGTAACTGTGGAATACAGGTCTTGTCTGGGCTGTCTCGGAATGAAGGTGGTCACTTTCTTTGGGTCCAATCAGTGAAGTGGCTTGGCTGCTCTTTGCATCTCGGTAAGATTTAGAGAGTCCTGAAAAAGTCCCAGCTTAGTAAGGTTGATGCCCCTTGCAGGTCTTGGCAAACAGTCCCCGGGGGTAGATTCCAAAGAGCCCAGTCATCCTGTCAGATCTCCCCCGTCCCTTCCTCCCCTCCCCCCCAAAAGATTTTTAAAATTATATTTACTTATATAGCAATAGTTAATAAATATGTATTTGTCTGGTGTGAAATATAAAATAAAATGTAGAAATCACACCCCTTTCTTCTATTTTACTACTTGGCGCTTCCATGTTGGCTCCCTGTCAATCATTGCTGTTAGCTATGTCCATTACACCTGGCAGAGAAAGTGTACAGAGAAAAGGAGAAATTAAATAATGTGTATATTTCACCTATTCAGTTGTAATGCTTGCCCTGACTTTGCCTTGTCAGAACTGGATTATATTGTAACTTACTAAATCTTTCAATGAAATGTCAAAAAAAAAAGTTGTCAAGTTAAAGGGGAATTTCAATATTTTACTCAATGATGTAAAAGTGGCAGTAAGTGACTACAGACAGGTAGTGATGTCTGCCTGGCCATCCTTTGCCTTCTAATGCTCATAGCAAGTTAGCTCACTCCGTACTCTCATTGGCTGAGCTGTGTATGTACGCTGGTAAGGAAGTATTTTTTCTGGATTGGGAGGTGTGGCTTTATTTTTATTTTATTTTATATTTTTAAAACTTACAAGGAAATTACAAAGAGTATGCAAAAAGTACAGCATATAAAAGACAGTTGCACAGTATATCTCCGTTAAAGATGTTTACATAACTGATTTTATGATTTATGCATTGTATTTATTCCTATTTACAGAACATTCTGCAACGTCAGGCTGAAGTGTTCACAAGAAAATATTTTTTCCTGGGGCAACTTTGACAATGGACGGTTTTGGCGAATTTCAGTTCCCCATTTTTGTGTGGATAATCATTGCTGTAGTGTGTTTTGGCATACTTGCAACTTGTTTTTTCTGTCTGTTTAGGTGTTTCTATCAAACGAATCATAGACGTACTAACATGATAGACTCTACCACCATTTCTGCTATCAATTCTCAGTTTAATACGGGATACCAATCAAATCAAGATAACAGACATCATTTTGAAAGTCAGCATTTTCCAAGTACTACAGTCCCGGGTTCGGAACCCTTTCACTTCGCTACAGCTCCTAACCAGGCCTATTTGCATGACACAAACTTTACCATAGCTCACACAATACCAGATTTACCTCCTAGCTATGATCTCAGTGGACAGATAGGATGTCAACCTGGAAATAATTTATCATGTGTCTGAAGTATTTTCTTACATCTATTTACCTCTAACTGCCAGACAGCTGATAGTTTTAATGCCAAATTTTTAATCTTCATCCAATCTATTCTGAGTCGTACAGAAAATTAATCTTGTACTGATTGGCACTAAAAATAAGAAGTTTGTAAGACTTCAACCAGAAACAGTAAAACAAGTCCAGTTTTCAAAACTAAACCGCAATAATGCAGACTCCATCAAGGATACAGGTCTGGTATAGTATCTTGAGAACTTCAGGACTCAACTCTTGATTTTCGGTTTCTTATGTGATACAGTTTATTTGCATTTTGTACATTGCACATTATGCAATGAATGTAAAATAGAATACGGTGTGAGCGGGATCCTCTGTGACTGTCTCCAAGTCACTAAGTGGAGACAAGAATTAAAAGAAAGACGTCTCATTCTTCAATGCTGTGCAGAAATACATACTCATAGGAGGTACCACCTTTCTGACTGAAAGAGTTGTTGATCCTGAACTCATCTGAAGTCATCAGTATACTATGAAAAAGTCACAGAAGTTTCTACGGCAACCTTTGTATGATACCATTATTAATTATTTTATCATAACATGTAATTAATTATAAAAGGCAATACTTTTTCAATCCCACTCAACAAAATGTGGAAATCATATATGTCGAAAATGACAATTTTACCCACCTGGTTCATTGCATTGGATGGCAAAAAGTTATTGTGGACTATTTAAAGCTTTATGATAAATCTTAATTAAGAATTTTACTGAAATTCCAACCCAGTGATAGATATACTGAGACAAACTAGGGACTACCGTACTGCCAAATTATACGGAGACCCCAGACGGTAACAGCTGCTTTAAATCTGATTTTTATTATTATTATTATTACTACAGAGTTTTGTATTTTAAACAGTTTTAGTTCAATTTGAATTATTTGGATAATAGTATTAATAAATATTCAGTTTTCCTTATTAATAGGCTTTCATATATATATATATATGTATATAAATATGCTGTAACTTTAAATTTATGCACGTTTACCTTTTGTAGTCTAGTCCACATTATGCAATAACATACTATGACATCAATGATTATGCAGGAAATAGGTAGGGCAACAAATTCAGGACAATAATTTGCTAACACTAAGGAAGTTATAAAAGCTAACAGGAGATAGAAAGAATCAGGCATTTGGAGTTTAAATGACTAGTGGGAATTCCAGAGTAACTCTGCGTTACTTATTTTGGTAAGTAAAAAGTTTATATTTTATACACATCTAGATTATTAATTTAATTCTTGAAATATAAGTATTGTAGTAGATGAATGATTTAAAGTTTATATTTGTTAGATTATTTACCTGGGACGTAAAATATTCTGTGTATTTCACACTTGTTAAAATTCAACTGATTTTGTGAGACGGGAAATAATGTAAAATAAGTGTTAATCTTAAATAAATATGTACATTCCAATCTCGATTGAAAAAAAGACTCAAGTCAATCGAGTTCAAACTTTTAATGTTTTTATTCAAGTTTTGAATGCAATGTTGTTTACTAGATTCATATAATATGACAATGTTCTATTTTCCTATCTGTACAATTTTAAATCCTTTTCACCTAAACAATAACAAAATGGCTTCTTTTGAAATTCAGAAATGCATAAAACTACTGCTCTATAAAGAATGTGCGCATTCATTTACATACTTTCATAGTTACATAGGAAAATGTAGGTAAATTTTCGCTGGTTTTACGGTAAAAAAGGTGTTCTCTCTTGCGATTGAAGTGATAAAACTTAAGGGGACCCCAGATATACCCGAAGCTTTAACTAAATGGGAAGATGATTTAGTAATATCTATTCCATATAACAATTGCTGTAAATCCTAAAAAAGTTATTCACTGTCTGAACATTCTAGAGACCTTTACCAAAATCCTGTATAGATGGTATATGGTACCGACTAGACTTGCAAAAATATCCAATACAAATCCGTCAAATTGCTCACATCCGTCACATCCAGACGGTTCTATGCTCCATATTTGGTGGGCTGGCCCCAGAATTAAGCCCCTTTGGAATATTTCATTTAATCTTATCTTGTCTATAGGATTGGAGGTATATGCCTGAAGCATAAAGCGGAAATTGCCCTACTTCACCTTATGGGTTCAGAAATAAATGATAATCTTGATATGGTGATTATACATTGTCTAATGGCAGCTAAAATATGAATTGCCAAATTTTGGAAAAGTACTGAGATTCCAACTAGCGATCAAGTTAAAGCTCAATTACTATACCAATTTGAGATGGAAAAAGGGTTGATCCTCATGAATGATTATTTTAACTATAATATTCTGACGCCATATTCCAACTTTATTGACAAGATCAGAGGGTTTTAATGGGGTGAAATGGAAGAACGTATTATGACTTGCCTAGATTGGGATGAAAGCCAGTATAGGATAATACCCCATGGGCTCTTTGACCATATATTTGATACTAGTTGTAATTGTTATGGGATTCTTGACTTGTCATATTATTATATTATTTTGGACCAGTTTTGTTCGTATTGTATGTGTTATTTTTGTGGCTACTGGTTTTTGTTGGAGTATGATTCTCCTACACTTCGATATTGTATATTAAATTTTTACGCATTGGAAGGTCTTTTACATATATATGATGTAATTTGCCATACCTGTGTTTTGCCCAGGAAAGGATGTTCTATTGTAGTACCTTTCTCGGTTGTGTACTGTATATTTATATTGTTATAAAACTCAATAAAAAAGATATATATATAAAAAAAATAATAATAATAATTTACATACTTACATAGTTACATAGCTGAAAAGAGACTTGCGTCCATCAAGTTCAGCCTTCCTCACATATGTTTTTGCTGTTGATCCAAAAGAAGGCAAAAAAACTAGTCTGAAGTGCTTCCAAATTCATTCTTGACCTCAAAATAGCAGTCAAATGCCTCCTTCGATCAAGCAGCTATTACCTCACTAATTAGAAATGATATCCCTGTATCTTATGTTTTTTCAAGTATTTATCCAATTGCAGTTTAAACATCGGTATGGACTCTGACAAAACCACCTCTCAAGGCAGAGGCATTTCAATAAATACATAAACTGACCCATACAGACAGGCAGACTGACAGGCAGAGACACACCCCTCCCCAGACACACACACACAGGTTCACCTTTCTCAGAATTTCCACTTTTCCTCTAAAGGCATGTTTAGTGGGAATTCACTGTATACATATAACCTTCTGAATCTAAGCCTTTTCTGTTATTCATCCTATTTTTTTCACTTATAGAATGTAGTTACATCATTACCAATTACCACTATTTAATGCTTCGTGGTATGCTATTTAAATGTCATGTAATATCATACCTTCCCTTCACTCAAGGGTTTTGTATAAAGAACTGCACTTCAGCTCTCCCCTTTACTGATGATACATTTGCCAGAGCTGCACCAAGGAATTGCACCATTTAAAGGACCACTCTAGGCACCCAGACCACTTCAGCTTAATGAAGTGGTCTGGGTGCCAGGTTCTTCTAGGGTTAACCCATTGTTTTATAAACATAGCAGTTTCAGAGAAACTGCTATGTTTATCAATGGGTTAAGCCTTCCCCCAAAGCCTCTAGCGGCTGTCTCATTGAAAATCACAGTGAGAGCATGCAAGCGTCCATAGGAAAGCATTATGAATGCTTTCCTATGCGACCGGCTGAATGCGCGCGCAGCTCTTGCCGCGTGTGCGCTTTCAGCCGACGGGGAGGATCGGAGGAGGAGAGCAGGAGGAGAGCTCCCCGCCCAGCGCTGGAAAAAGGTAAGTTTTAACCCCTTTCCCCCTTCCAGAGCCGGGTAGGAGGGGAACCTGAGGGTGGGGGCACCCTCAGGGCACTATAGTGCCAGGAAAACGAGTATGTTTTCCTGGCACTATAGTGGTCCTTTAATAAAATGAATGTATATCTCATATTCAGTGGCACGTGCATGCACACACACACGTGCTTATTATTCTTAAATTTACTTATGTGATAAAAAAATTAAACTGGCGTGTAGTATTAAACAGGTTTGGAAGCAGGGGCCTGATTTGGCATTTCATGTTTTATAATGGAAGATAACCGATATTTTGAGCAGAAAACTCAGTATTGTAACAATGTATTTAAAAATATGTTTGTTTGTATGTTTCCATGTGTCAGATGTATTCAAATACTATGGACTCTGGAAGAATGGTCAAAGTTCCAAATTATTTTATAACACAAGACAATAAAATATAACTGCATAATGTCTTCTTTAAAAATCATATCTGAATAACAGATTGAACAAAGTTCAGATTGTTTATTACTCATCTGAGTCACAGAGGCCTCAGCAACCTCTGCTAGACAGTGAAAAGCCTAAAATTTGCCCTCGCGCCATTAGTAATAACAGTTAGAAAAATAGAGCGTGTTTCAGCTAGCACAAGCTGTTATCACGGTTTCTTCCCAGAATTGAGCTGTAAACAGACCTTGCAAATTGTTTGACTCTAAAGTGAGGGATGATGGTCACAGCCTACAAGCACCATAAACACTACAATGGATTTTATAATAACAACAAACTATTTAACCAGGAAAGACACATTAAGATTACACTGGTTTTCAAGTATGTCCTGGGAATGTTACCTTAGTCCAACATCAAGCAGTTGTTACTATTACCCAACTTAATAGTACTCATGTTACCTACTTCAGCAGGATGAAAGGCTGAGTTACACCTCCCAGGATTTGAACCTGTAACCCAATGGTTAAACAGATTCTGCTGATGATGCATTAGCCCACTGAACTATTTCACCAACTTATTTATGGTGAAACCTATATATAGATTTTAACCCCTTAAGGACTGGACTGTTTTTGTGATGTTGTACATTTGCAACCAGGCATATTTTACACTTTTGTGGTGTTTGTGTTTGGCTGTAATTTTCCGCTTTCTCATTTACTGTTCCCATACAAATTATATATTGTTTTTTTCAGGACAAAAGGGGCTTTCTTTACATACCATTATTTATATAATCTCATGTATTTTAATTTAAAAAAAATAAAAAATATGATGAAAAATTGAAAAAAATACATGTTTTTTGACTTTTACTTGAAAAATCTTTTACTCATCTACAAAAGCGAATGAAAAAAACTGCTAAATAGATTCAAAATTTTGTCCTGAGTTTAAAAATACCTAGTGTTTACGTGCTTTTTTTTTTTTTTGCATGTTATAGGGCTATAGGTACAAGTAGGATATTGCGGTTTCAAAACATACATTTTTCAAATTTATCAATAGTGACATTGTAACACTATTATCTGTCATAAATCTCTGAATAACACCCCACATGTACATATTTTTTTTAAAGTAGACAACCCAGGGTATTCAATATGGGGTATGTCCAGTCTTTTTTAGTAGCCACTTAGTCGAAAACACTGGCCAAAGTAAGCATTCATATTTGTTTGTGTGTGAAAAAAGTAAAAAAACTAAATTGAACGCTAATTTTGGCCAGTGTTTGTGACCAAGTGGTTACTAAAAAAGACTGGACATACCCCATTTGCAATACCTTGGGTTGTCTTCTTTTGCAAATGGTATGCCATCATGGGGGTAATTCTCATTCCTGGGCTACCATACGCTCTCAAAGGCAACGTAACCAACCTGGCCATTTTCAATGTAAAAATATTTGACCCATATATTTGACCTTGTAACTTTCAAAAATGCTATAAAACCTGTACATGGGTGGTACTGTTTTACTCGGGAGACATCGCTGAACACAAATATTAGTGTTTAAAAACTGGAAAACGTATCACAACAATTATATCATCAGTAAAAGTGCTGTTTGTGTGTGAAAAATGCAAAAAAAGTCACTTTCACTGACAATATCATCGCTGTGATATGTTTTACTGTTTTGAATCACTAATATTTGTGTTCAGCGAAGTCTCCCGAGTAAAACAGTACCCCCCATGTACAGGTTTTAGGGTGTCGTAGAACGTTACAGGGTAAAATACAGTGCTAGCAAATTAAATTCTCTGGAATTTTGGCCTGGGTTGGCAGGCAGGTCCCTCAAATTGCAATCAATAAAATTACTGAATTATGTAAAAAATATTACATAAATACGCACGTAGAATTTAAATATATATGCATATTTATATATTTGAAGTCTACGTGTATATTTATATAATTATTTATGTAATTTTGTATATGGACATATGTATATTTCGTATTATTTTTATTTATTTTTATATACATAGATATATATACAAATTCATTCTAAGTGTATTTTGATATAAATATATATATATTAATTTTAAAATACAGTTAGAATAAAATTTCATATAGATATATAATTTTTAAAAAAAAATTATTATTATTTTTAAAAAAAATATTTAATTTAAATTACTTATTATTTATATTTTATAATAATATATATATACAATATATATCGTTTTTATATATATTATATATATATACGTGTGTAATTTAATTATAAGTGTATTTTTATATTAATATAAGTACATATTAATATAAAAATACACTTAGTATGGCAGTACATATATAATTTTTTATTTTTTTTTATTAACATTAACTTTATTTATTTTTTCTGATTTTACACATGCAGGGAGACTGCCTGTCAGCACAGGCAGTCCCCCTGCAGGCAGACACATGGACACCTATTGTGACCATGTGATCGCTGTGTTAAGCGATCACATGGCCACAGGGGTCCTAATCCAGTGTGGGGAGACTGTCTGGGCTGCAGGCAGTCTCCCCACAACCGGAGCAACGCTGATCGCCGCCGGGGGAACGACGGCGATCAGGTAAGTAACTCAGACCGTTAGGACGGTTCAGGACCGTCATCGGTCGGCAACGCAAAAATGCCGACGACGGTCCTGAACCGTCCTGGGTCGTTAAGGGGTTAAGATCAAAAGTTAGCAGTTAAAGAGGCAGACATAGGTTGGGTGTCCAACCTTTCAGCTTCCCTGGACCACATTGAGAGAAGTGGAATTGTCTTGGGCCACACATCAAATATACAATATAGTTAATGTATATACATAATAAGACTTTAAAAGCCTGCTTCTTTATTTTCAGTTGTTTAGTATATAACTCACTTATTTGTCATCCTTATGTAGGATTGCCATATGTAAGGATACCAAATTAGGGAACTATCTACTAAACACATACACATGTATATACATATGCACACATAGCCACAGAAATTCACACTGTGATTGTGTGTCTATGTCTGTGATTATGTATGTATGTATGTATGTATGTGTCTGTGTGTGTACATCTGTGATTATACAGGGATATCATTTCTAATTAGTGGGCTGATAGCTGCTTGATCCAAGGAGACATCTGACTGCTATTTTGGGGTCAAGAAGGAATTTTTTCCAAGTTTGTTGCAAAATGGGAAGCGCTTCAGGCTAGGTTTTTTGCCTTCTTTTGGATCAACAGCAAAAACACATGTGAGGAAGGCTGAACTTGATAGACGCAAGTCTCTTTTCAGCTATGTAACTATGTGATTGTGTGTATAGGTCTGTGATTGTATGTGTGTGTGGGTCTGTGTGTGCGTATATAATCACTAGGCATGTGCATGGGGAAAATTCGGTTCGGTTCAGCATTCCGAAATTCGGCACTTCAGCAACTCCGGCAACTTCGGCACTTCACTTAGTAGATAACTCCCTAATTCCCACGTTATTAGGGAGTTATCTACCAAAAGGCTGAAAGACCTCTGAAGTAACCAATCAGAGAGTTATGAGTCAAATTACACAGCATGGGAAAATTCCAAAGAACTTTCCCACGCTGTGTAAAATGACACAGAGCACTCTGATTGGTGGATTTTAAGGACATTAGGTCCCCCCCTTATTAGTATTTAGGGCCCTCACCCACCGCTCAGGGTTGGGGGCTAGGGAGGAGGACATTAGATCCCCCCTTTATTATAATTTAGGGCCCCCACCCACCACTCAGGGGTGGGGGCCAGGGGGGAGGACATTAGGTCCCCCTCTTATTATAATTTAGGTCCCCCACCCGCCACTCAGGGGTGGGGGCCAGGAGGGAGGACGTTAGATCCCCCCTTATTCTGATTTAGGGCCCCCACCCGCTGCTCAGGGGTGGGGGCCAGGGGTGAGGACATTAGGTCCCCTCCCATTATTCTGATTTAGGGCCCAAACGCGCCGCTCAGGGGTGGGGGCCAGTGGGGGGCAATAGGTCCCCCCTTTAGTTTAAAAGCCCCCACTCGCGCATCGCGGGTGGGAGCTCGGGAGGGGGGACCTTGATCACTGTTTAATAGACATGCCTCTACTCGCGGTATAGCGAATAGGGGCATAATTTACTTTACTAAGCATTAGTAAATTTGTCTGAAAGACCAATTTTGGTCTTTCAGCTTTTTAGTAGATAGCTCCCTAGTACCGTGGGAATTAAGGAGTTATCTACTTGTTCATTCCGGTCATTACATTGCCTGGCTAAGTAACTTACATTTTATATGAATGTATGTTACTTGATTGTTGTAAGTGTTGCAAATGCGTACAGCTGAATCCTGGCTATGTTTGTATACTTTTTATTTAAAATTGTATACAGTGTAACATTCTTCATTCTTCCACTGGGTAAGTATATTAGTTCTTAGGCAATACTGTGCTTCGGCGACTTCAACATTTCATCTATTCGGACATTCGGAAGTAACCAAATGTCCGAATTGACCAAAATTTGTCCGAATTCACATTCGGACCGAAATGAATTGTACATGTCTAATAATCACACACACATACAATCACAGACCTATACACATAATCACATATATACACACATAATCACAGATATGCACACACAAACAATCACAGACCCACACACACACATACAATCACAGGCCTATACACACAATCACATACACACACACCACAGATATACACACAATTACAACCACACACATACAATCACAGACCTACACACACACAATCACAGACCTACACACACACACACACACACACAATCACAGACCTACACACACACACACACACACGATCACAGACCTACACACACACACAATCACACACACACAATCACAGACCTACACACACATACACAAACACAGATATACACACACATACAACCACAGGCCTATACACACAATCACATCACACACACAACCACAGATACAAACCCAATCACAGACCTCCACACACATACAATTACAGACCTACACACACATAATCACAGATATGCACACAATCACACACCTATATGCACAATCACAGACACACACATACAAACCCACACATACATACATAAAAATCACATTCACACACATTTAGTAATTAACAGGTCCACCCAGTCTCCCTACCTTGCTCTAGGAGGGCTGGATTGGATCCTCGATCCCTAGTGGCCAGTGGTTTCTGCTGGGCTGGGATCTCTGTGCTCCTCCTGCACAGGTCCCTCTCGCACCCCGTAATGACATCATATCCCGGCTGCCGGCTCACTAGAGGGCACGCGAGGGAGCTGTCCCTTCTTCCCTTGCCATCTGGCAACCCTGCAGGCAACCAGGCTGCATTACTAGCAGTTCTGGGTCGCATGCACCCCGCGGGCTGCAGGTTGTCCATGCCTGATCAAGAACATGACATAAATGAAAAAAGGGACAACAAAAGAAAATATATGTAATGGTGAACTTAAAAGACTTTAAGGAACACTGTAGACACCATCATTGCCTCATCTCATGGAAGTGGTTATAGTGTCTGGATTTCTCTGGCGCTGTTCTTCCATTCAATGTTAAATAATTTTAATGTTTTAATGCTAAAGAAGAGTCCATAGCAACCCAGCCTCTCTGTGCTTGGGATAATGAGGAAACATTAGACTGAGCAGCAAAGGATGTTTGTGATTGGCTGAAAGTGTCAGCTGACCACATTCAGCCTATCACAGTGACCTTGCAGGTATGAAATAGTATGTCTACAAGGAAGTGATACCCAACTTAATCTTATCACCAGTGAGGGCAGTGCTATAGGAAGTCAGATACCATCATTCAGTATTTAACTGCTCAAAATGGGCTTATGACTGAATGCAGGGACAATGCCAGGGGACTCTTGGCACTATAACCAAATCGATGAGATTAAATAATTCTAGTGCCTACAGTGTCCCTTTAAATGTGAACACTGGCACTTCTCAGGATTTCTATTATATTTACTTATATAACTATACTTGCTTATTTGTATTTGTCCGAAAAAAAAAAAGAAGAAAATGTAGAAATACACACCTCTTTATTTTACTACTAGGCGTTTCCATTTTAGGTCCCTGCCAAATCATGTCCTTTACACCTGGCAGAGAAAGTCTACAGAGAAAAGGAGAAATTAAATAATGTCTCAATTTTACCTAATCAGTTACAATGCTTGCCCTGGCTCTGCATTGTCAGAACTGCTTTATGATATCATTTGCTAAATCTTTCATTGAAATTTAAAAGAAAACAGGAAAAAAAAAAACAGGTTGTCAAGTTATAGGGGATTTTCAATATTTTACTCAATGATGTAAAAGTGACAGTAAGTGGCTACAGACAGGTAAAGTTATATTTACTTTACTTACGTGTCTGCCTGGCCATCCTTTGCCTTCTAATGCTCATAGCAAGTTTGCTCACTCCATACTCTCATTGGCTGAGCTGTGTATGTACGCTGATAAGGAAGTCTTTTTTTTATGGAATGGGAGGTGTGGCTTTCTTTCTATTCATTTATGTATTTATTTAGTTATTTATCTATTCAATCTAAAAATTACAATGAGAATGCAAAAGTACAGCATATCAAGGAAACCAGATGTATTATAGTTGTGTCGGTGCACTGAATATCTCTTTTATTTTAATTGTATCTATTCATGTTTACAGAGCATTCTACAACGTCTGGCTGAAGTATTCACAAGAAAATATTTTTCCTGGGGCAACTTTGACAATGAACGGTTTTGGCGAATTTCAGTTCCCTGTTTATATGTGGATAATCATTGGTGGAGTAGGCATTATTTTTTTTGTAGTTTGTTTTATATTCCTGTGTAGGTGTTGCAATGCAATACATCACACAAGTACTAACGTGACAGCAGACCCTACCACCATTTCTACTATCAATTCTCAATTTAATACGGGATACCAATCAAACCAAGATAACAGACCTTATTCTGAAATTCAGAATTTTCCAAGTACTACAGTCCCGGGTTCGGAACCCTTTCGATTTGCTACAGCTCCTAACCAGGTGTATTTGCATGACACAAACTTTACCATAGCTCAAACAATGGTCATACAAGATTTACCACCTAGCTATGAAGACGTCCTTAGGCAAAAATGATGGTAACCTGGAATTCATTTATCATGTATATGAAATATTTAAATACCTCTATTTATCTTTAACTGCCAGACAGCTGATAGATATTATTCAATTCTTCATCCACCCTAGTCTGGGTCATACAGAAAATTAATTATGCACTGATTCGCACTACAAATCGGAAGTTTGTAAGGCTTCAAACAGAAACAGTAAAACAAGTCCAGTTTTCAAAAATAAACCTCAATAATGAAGAATTCATCAGATATAAAAGGCTGATATATTGTCTTGAGAACCCCAGGATTCAATAGAATTTCAGAACTTTTAACCACAACTGATATCTACAAGACAGTCTGATCTCTCTTAAGGGACATCACTGCTATTCAAGGCTACTATTCCTAAAGGGAACGCTATATAGTCAAATTGTGTATACATGTCTCCCTAAATTAAAGTGATCTCCCTTTTCCTTGCCACACTCGCTTCTCCTTGAAAAATGTTTACAGTTGTACATGAGTACTTCCTTAACCCTTTAAAAGTGTAATAAGGTTACATAAAGCTACATGTTAATAATATGGTTCTAATATTGAAAAGACTTAAAATTGTCATAAATCAGTGAAGTTGATCACCAAACAATTGAAAAATATATTGTTTGTTACTGAACATGTGACTGCTTTTTAACTTGTCTGTCTCATGGTTGGAATAAAAATCCTGGCATTCTTTTGCTTAGTAAATTCAAAACGAAATGGCAAAATTTAGATGAAAATACCAAAACGTGACTAAAGCCGATTGTTTTTCTATACTGCTATAGTGGCCTAAATTTTGCAATTTTGTTTCATATCACTACTATTTTCTGTTGAATAAATACTTCAGGGTTAATTCCTGAGACTTTCCAGTCACACATAATATGAGTACCAAGATTAACCACAAAGAAACTGGTGCAATTTCTGGAAAGACAAAAGAGTCAATAAAAATCCAACCTGAATTGTTATGTACAAAATTGCTAAAAATTATTTATATATTTGTATATAAAACAAACTCTAGATTATCAAAAAAACTGTTTTCTCTTCTTTCAATGTGATTCTGCCACTTTTCAATAAAAGTTCATTTGAATCCATTAAAATAGAGCCATGTATTCCATTTTCACTAAAACACAGGGATGTATTTACCACAAGGTAAACAAGGCATTTGCCTAGTGCGGCACTTTCAGGGTGTGCGCCAAAAATCGTCACCCCAAGCTCCCAGACAAATGCCTTGTTTGCCTTGTGTTCTGGGGCTCTCCACCTTACTGTAAGTGAGTGAGTGAGTGAGTGTAGCTGTCAGTGTATGTCTGTGAGTGAGTAAAAGTGTGTGTGTCTTTCAGTGAGAATGGGTGTGCCTGTGAGTGTGTTTCAGTGTGTGATTGTCATTTTATGTGCATCTGAGAGTGTGTGCCTGTCAGTGAGTGGGTATGTCAGTGTGTGTCTGTCAGTGAAAGTGTGTGTTGGTTAAACAGTGTGTTCCAATGACTGTATGTGTGTGCCAATGACTGTGTATCTGCAAGTGAGTGTATATCAGTGCATGTATCAATAAGGGCATGTGTCGGTCAGTCAAAAAAGTGGCCTTGACACAAATTGAGGGGCAAATTTAGATTTTAAGGGTGCCCGAATTTAGTCGTGCCTAGGGCAGCATCAATCCAAAATACACCACTGCTTAAACATGAATTGTGGGTGTAGTGGAGTTCCCTGTACCCCATCTGGGTACCTCTGCCAAGGATCACTTCCTAGCTGGAACAAGGGAAAACCTCAGCGCTTCTGCTCCAGTTGCCGTGGCTTCACTGCGGTCCTCCTGGAGCCTCTCTGTCCTGGAACATGGTAGGGGACCAGTTCTATTCCCTCCCAGGGACTGGACGACACACAGTTCTGTGAGCTCTAGTCCTTACAAAGACTTTCCCTGCCGAATCCTCTACCAGCTGGAACAAGGTGCTGGGCAGATAGTTTTGGGAGTACAACTGATATTAATGAGCCAAACCTGCCCTTTTATGCACAGACCCCAGCATGGGGTCTCTATTGTACTCAACACAAGCCCCTCCCAGGAATCTCTGGGAGGGGCTTGTGGGAGACAATTGAGACAATTGAGTTAAAGACCGGTTAGCTAATTATCTCCCAGGAACAAGTGCCAAACACAAAACATAAAAGTACCCCAAAACATAATAAAAACATACAATAACCCCACATATTATACATCCCCAAATAGCACTGATCTGAGTAAACTGCACGGTCGCCTCATGCCGAAAACAGTTCCATAACATTCGTGGCTAAGTACCGCTGAGGCGACCGGGTACCCACAAAGTCCTCGTACCAAAATTAGTTCCATAGCGGTCACTGGTTAAGTACCGCTGATGACCATTTGTGGGTTTGATTCATGTGAACGGCCGCCAGGGAGCTAGTGTTCGGTTCTATTTGAATGAAGGGAAAGTACTGAACCAGGGGCACCCAGGGAAAGCTGCTAAGGGCAGCTGGGCAGGGTAACTCCCGAACGGTGTCTCAGACCTAAACCATAGTTGGTGGGCAGGAAGCTTGCTTCCACACTCCTCCAGGAGTCCGTTGCAAACGTTTCTAGGATGGAGCGTTTGTCACAATGGGGATTACAATGTGAGAAATTTCTAATCCTAATATCTCTAAACTTTACTCTTACTTCCTAATCCTAATGCTCAAACAAATCACTAACTTCCAATACTAACATCCAACCTAAAATTCATCTAACTTACCTTACAACTCAAATAAGTGGTTCAAATGCATAATTTTACCACCAAAGTATCAATATGTAATATAACAACCAAAACATCCCAGTAAATTTAGCCAACACAGAGGGCTTGATTTACTATGATAAACAAGTAAGTTTTCAAATTTTATTGATGGAGCAAGGCAATTCCATAAGAAATCTGAAGAAGTCATCAGAGTCTGATATAGAAAGTGTTGATATCAACAAAAAAAGGCATTTTATAGAGCAGAGACCAGGATTAAATAATCTTGTTGGTTGGTGTGGTTGTGTAAATTGGGTTACTGTCATGGAGAGAACCCAAAACATGTAAGTGGACATGAGTGTGGTAATGGAATGGAATTTATTTCAGATTGGAAAGGGGGCCATTTTGACTTATAAGAGTGAGTTGCAGTAGTCAATTTCAGAGATAATAAGAGAATGGTCAGGCTGTTTAGAAATATTGGGTTGTTAGAAAGAAGTGAAAACAAGTTGGGTTTTTAAAACATGTCAGGATCTGGAGATTGACTGAATGAAGGTAATGGAAGAGAGTTCAGAGTCCACACACTCAGAGGATCCAGGGTAGGAAAATGGAAGCATGATTGACCTTGATTGTGATTAAGCAATTAGGTTTTAGAAATTGTGCACTCATCCAACAAGAGTTGGTGTAGAGGCACCTGATGACACTATGTGTCACGATTCGGGAACCTAACATGCTAACAGGTCACAGAGAGGAAGGGTGCTATACTGGTCCTTAGAATGGCCGGGTTAAGCACACTAAGAATAGTCAGGAGACAAGCCAAGTAAAGGGAGCCAGAAAACAGGAGAATGAGAAACAAGCCGAGGTCAAAGGAGTGGAGAATACAGGAAAGTCGGAATAACGAGCCGAATAATCTGTAACCAGAGAGAAACATGAGCAAACTACACTACAGGTAACACAAGACCACAATAGGGCACTGAGAGACAGGAAAGGTAAGTATATAACTGCAGTGCTTAATTCTAATTGGATAACTTCCAATCAGAATTAATAATCACACGTGGGAGATATCTATACCTCCCACTGTGATTAGGGTACTGTGGCTTTAACGCCGGGTCACGTGAGTGACCCTGGCGTTTACATAAATGCAGGGACTCCCAGCGTGCAGCGTTACACATGCTGCCGCTGGGAGGCGCGGAGGATGCGAGCGGCGCGCAGCGGAGACGCCGCTCGCCGACAGGTAGGAGGAGGGGAGACCCTGACACTATGTAGGAGAGTGGTAAAATCTCAGGGGAAGAGAAGTAGAGTTGGGTGGCATCAGCATAAAAGTGGTACTGAACTGATTATATAACCTATAGAGGTATAATAGAGATGTGGTGCCAGCAATGGGCATAGGAAAGAAGAAGAGAGCCCTGAAAGGGTTTAGTCACCCAGAACAGATATACAGAGAGTGAGACCAATAAGCCAGTGGTCCACAGTGTCAAAATAAACAGAGGCAAGATGATAAAAGGAACATTCTGACATAAAGATACAGTAAGTATATTTACTTATATGATAGTGCCTGTTCATCTTGATTATTGAGCCTCCACTATTAAAACAAAATATAAGTCAAGCTCCATTTTGTTACTGCAGACGCTCCATGCTCTGTGAGATCATTTGTTGATCTTGATCCAATGGTATGCTTCTCATGGAGGGTTATCAGAACCCTTTAATGCATGTGTAGCAATTGTCATGCTCTACCAATCATATGTTATGTATTTGTTATAGAGCAGTAATGGATCTAATAGACCTCTATAAGACATTCATGGCATTTAGTGTTGCTGAATGGATAGACTGTCAATAATTGAAATTCTTTCTGAGGAAGTACTTCTGGTGGCTATCTGATTGATGGCTACTAAAAGCAACATTAGTGAAAAATATAAACACCGGTATTTTTCACAAACAGCAATGTTTACATTTGTCAGACTGCAGGGACAGATTTTTGATGCTACAAGTATCCCTTTAAAAGACGAACAAATCATTGGTAGATGAGATTTGGAGTGAACAAAATTGGCCTATTTTGTATGTACAAACCATTTGACAAGCTTAGAGGGAAAATGTAGTGGGGGTATGTGGCAGTGGTCAAATTGGGAATTAGAAAGTGTAGGTCTTATTAGATGGGTGTGGCTGTAACTTGCTTAAACTGAGTTTGAAAGATACCAGAAGAGAGAGATTAAATATTTTTATGACCAAAAAGACATGATGTGGATAAGAGGACAGATGAAGAGCAGTAATCTTCTCCTACATAGCTGGTGACAGGGTTATATAGAGTGCAATCTAGGCCGAGCATGGACGATGTAGCTTGCTAATACATATTGCCTTATTTTAGCTGTATTAGTAGGATAAAGTAGGATGCAAAATTATAAGTGACAACGTTGATGGACAAAGGAGAAACATGGTATGATGTTATATTCTAAAGGTTTGGAAGAAGCATGCGGTATCAAAAAACATTGTGGTGAGTAGCAGGTTAAAGCAATCCTTAAATGTTTTTTTTTGTGTGTTGTAGCTGATCAGTGTATGTATATAAGTATATAAATATATTAAATGTTCTAGGAGGGCAAGAGAGATGTCAGTGGAGAGGTAAATTGAGTATAGTCAGCATACAGATGGTATTGAAATTCAGAAGAGTTAGTGAGGTTACCAAGAGAGGCAGTGTGAATGGAGAATAAAAGAAGACTAAGAACAGAGCCTTGGGGAACACTAACTGAGATCAGCAGTTATTCACTTTGGTAAGGGCAGTTTAAGTAAAGCCAGGGGAGTGGAGGCCAGATTGAAGAGGTCAAGGAGAAAGTTAGTATTGAGAAAGTGAGTTACATGGGTAAACACAAGTCACTCAAGATGCTTAGATGTGAAGGGAAGTTGGAATTTGGGACAATAATTTAAAGAAGTAGGGTTGAGAGATGGCTTTTTTAGCATAGGATTCACGATTGCATGTAGAAAGAGGGGCAGATGCCTACAAATATGTGTTAGGGATTGGACCAGACTAGGGGTAAGAGATTGGATAAGGTAAGCGGGAAGGGAATCAAGTGAGCAGGCAGTAGGGCGAGATGATAGGAGAAGTTTAGATATCTCTTGCTCAAAGACATGGGGACAAAAGTTAAGAGTGTAGAAAGGAAAAGAATGGAAGCTGGATATTGGAAGGGGGAAGGAAAGAAGGGAGATTGTGTTCCAGATCTTGTCAGTAAAGTGATACAGTTAAAGATAGTGGCTCCTGGAATAAGGATTTCACAAGAAATAAAATTACTCCAATATTATAACAGAATTCAAATATTTATTCAAATAAAAATAAGTAAATAGGAGGCTTCTCCAGCAAAAAGAGCAGAAAATAACATT